ACCCTAGTCCGGGCGAGGGAAACGGGACTTTGATCTTTAACTTTTTCATGGGTTCTTTCGGATTGCTCTTTGTCTGGCCCCTCCCCTGGGACCTTTTTGCCTTGGGAGACCCTACCAGGGGCTATTGCCCCCGACAACCTACAGTAGCCCCCAGGTTCACGGAGGCACGCAAACCCCTCCACCACGATAAGATGGCAATCCACCTTTTGTTTCGGGATTTTTTTTTAAACAGTATTTTATTCAATTTCAGTTGCACTGTTTAGAAGAGGACACGTTTTCCACAGTTTAGAAAGATAAAGGAATATTTTTGAATAAATTTGACTGCAGCTCATTCTGTTAAAAAATCGTATTGTGAATCGTGAATCATGTCGAATCGTGAGTTGAGTGTATTATCCCTAATCATTAGTAATGTTCTCTTATCCTAAAACACATGTATTGACATTATATCATACTTACTTATGCATGCAGATTTGAGTACCCTGATTTTGAATAAAATGATGCTGAATAACGACTTACAAACATTTCAAGTCATGAACGGCCATTCGGAATGTATCTCGTTCGTAAGTAAAGGAGCATCTGTATAAATATAAAAAAGATGTAGTTCTACAGTAAATTAAACTGATAAATGGGTGAGAGGCTGACAACAAAAGGCTGATAATGGATGCAAAGAGGAAATGATCAGACAGGGAAGCACGAGTGTCAGAGCTAGTGGCATTATGAGGAAAGACAATCTGTGGATGTATTACTGTCCTCCCCAACCTTTCATTGGTGTTAAACAGCATGCTTGTGCTCTGGTCTTGGGTGTCCTTCTGAGTGAGCCTCTTCTCATCCTGCCTCTGTCTGCTGCCCAGATCCTGTTCTTCACCCTGCAATCTATCTATCTTAGCCTCCAGGTCATGCAACTGCAGCTTTTTCCCCCAGCAGAATCCCTGGGGCCCCGACAACTGATCCTGTAGAAGGAGCAGTTCCTGGTGCTCTTTCTCCCATGCCTCTTGTACCTGCATATATCTCTGCTGCAATTCTGATACCTGTGGGAAAAGAAAAGCCACATGGCACTTTGACACTGGAAAACAATGCAATATATTGTTAATCATGTTCAACATAAATTCATTTTGTCAGATGACAGCAAATGAGTGTGTTTACTGTCTATGTTTTGTCAAAACGAAGGTGGTCTCTGGTTTTACCTTTCTTGTACTTATCTCGCTCTGTAGCCAAGGATAACAACTTTTCAGTATCCTCATTCAACCGCTGACTCAGCAGCTGTTTATCATGATTAGGCATATCCAAGGCAGGTGGGTGGCAGGACTCATCCCTATTAGGACTGCGATTAAGGGGGGCATTTCCCAGAATCCTGCGCAGCTTGTCTGCCTCCCTCTCCAGTTGTGCTAGCCTTTGGCACATTGCTACCGAGTCCATGCCCTCTGAGGAGAAGGGAACTGGAGTCTGATCCTCTGTTCTGCTGAGTGGGGGTACCATGACTGTTTGGGTTGGAGCAGGGGCATGAGCCCAGGTCAAGGCTGAAGCAAACTTATTTTGATCCTTTTTAGTCATATCAACTGGTGTGACCTGCTTTCCAAAAAAGACCACACCTGTATCATCAGCCTCTCCCTCTATCTCTCCCGTGTCAATTCTCTCCACATCCCCATCGCCTTTTTTTTCTCCCTCTGTGTCTTTGTCCTTCTGAATTTCTGTCACACAGCATTTCCTTTTTTCCATTGAATTTTCAGAATAAGTTGCTTTCCTCTTTCTGCAAAAAGTAAATGAACAGATGCAAGTGTTAGCCTTGAAATTTTTTTTATGGTTCTAATATAACAGAATTATCATGTCAAGGTAGCTACAGGTATTGGACAGTTACTTAAAAATAAATTAAACAACTTGCTTTATATGACGCAATGGATAGAATGTGGACTAAAACAGCGGCATTTCTAGCTATATGAAAGATCAGGGGCTAAGTCAAGTTTACCTGTGGTTTGACTTTTTTCTTTTTTGAAGGAAGATTGGCATCGGACTAAAATACACAGGGCTACACCCCGGGTGATCAGACCTAACGATGCCCATGAACTAAAAGCAATTATTGCTGGTAGTATTTTGTAAATGACAAATGACTTTTCCTTATTTCAATAAAAAAAGTATAGTTTGATGCCCGCTAATCTTTTGAGCTGAGTTTCTTCTAAATTTGTTTACGCAGGCAATGCAAATTCTTGCCTTCCAAAGTAAAAAGAAATAAAAACCTGAATGGCATGCTCCCCATGGTTAGAAGATTGATGGATGAATGCAAGGTTTGTTTTAATGAATATAGGGAAATGTAACATTACAATCCTTAAAAGATCATACTGTATCTGCAATTATGAATCGGCATAGATTTCTACTTGTTGCTCCATCTAGTGGTAAAATTGGGTATGCTGGAAGAAAATTGACTGGAAGCCTGGTGTGACAGATTTGTTATTTTAAAATCATTGTATGTGTTACCTGCCAGTCGTTCTGTGGTTTTTGTATATGTGCTTGTGTTCCCTCTGCTTATCCTCATGTGTAGTTCTAGCCCTTGTCTATCCTCGTGTAAGCAACCTGCCTTTGTTTTGACCTCTCATGATCCCTTTGTTTAGTGTGTGTTGGAGTTCAGTTTGAACAAACTTCCAGTTTGTCTGTAAGCCGCACTGTGGATCATCCTTTTACCAGGCCTTGACATGACACACATTAATAAGTACCTGCACAGTGATGTGACATCTTCTTCAGCATTAGGGAGCTGGCAGTCAGACTCTGACTCCTCTACTTCAGGAATTTCTGCGTGGTCACTGACGGGTGACAGGCTACAATGATCCTTCCCCTTCTAAAATAATACACATGGTTCTTGCTGACGTGGCTACAAAGTTTGTAAAACTCCATGAATCAAGTTTTAAAAAAACTTATGGATATAAAAGAATGCATGTAACATCTACAAATGTGTACAAATAAGGTTTATGTTTATAACGCTTGAGTGGTATCTCAATCTTCATATTGTTATTATACCACAGTACACAGCATTTTGATGGTTTCGGTTGATTTTGTTTTGGCTGATTTTCAAAAGTAACAGTATTCGGTATCATGAAATCTTGGTGATAAAATATGTGATATATTGGTGATATATATGTACACACACACACACACACACACACACACACACACACAGACACTCACACACATACACACACACACAGACACACAAAGTACCGTGAAGAAGTACAGAAGACTATCAAAATGTTATTTTCACGCATGGGTGTGTGCTTTTTTGCCCACCTCCTATCAATGGACCCTTATTTGCACTAGTACCACAAATTTCTACCTACATATACATATGCATTAGAAGAAGTCTGATACACAAGCTTACTCACCTCCTGCAATCTGTTTTTTCTTTCTTTTTCCCTATAGGCAGAAAACTGTAAGACACTGGCCATTTCAATTAGACTTCTGGAGACTAAACTGATATTCAGTTTGGATCTATTCAGAAAACCACAGTATAGCGAGGAAGTCTGTACACCACAACACATTATATTATTTTAGCAGATTTATCCAAAATGACATATAACTGAGAAATCAGGGTCAACCATTCCCTGCAGCAATTAAGCTTAAAGCCCTTTCTCATGGGCTTAGCAGTGCAATCACTTTGCTGATCACAGGCTTCGAACCGATAAGCTTTCAATGATGAGCAGAAACTCCTAACCCAAAGCACTACACAATTCAGCTGGAAAAGTAAGATAAATGTTCCCAAGCATAGGTATGCAACATTACTGTTTTTTAGATGCTTTCTGGTAACTTGGTGTCAACTCATCATCACTCTCATCTGCTTCTTCTGGAAATAAGCAGCTTCTGTAAAATACACCAATGGGTACTGTATAGGTTTGCACAGATCAGCATGCTAGGAAGGAAAGAAACCATTCTCACATCAGAATACTTTAACAAATCCCAGCTAACCCTGACTACACCAACTCTTGAGATTTAAAGATCAAGTGTGTGCAAATCTGACAAAAAAATCTTATTTTGGTAAAATTTGCTGTACTGTCTTCTGTGTTTCTGTCCTTTACAAGTGGCAGACTTTCACCATAAAAACACTTAAACCAGACACTGTCATATGCAACCAATATAGCACGTATGTAATTATATAATTTGCATACAGTTTACCTAAAGCAAGAGGTAGGGTGCTGACTGCATGTCCATTTTTCTGGTAATGCGATCACCCCTGGTGGCAACCTTCTCCACTTCAGACAGTCCTCACACTGAATCCAGCGCAAAGCCCTGGAACAAAAAATCATATACTTCACGCTTAATGACTGAGTTTTGTTCCTACTACTAGGTCGTTAAGTGAATTGGTTGATAAATGAGGAGCCGCCCCTTACCGATATTTCAAGCATACTTTACTGGTAGTGGGTTTGTGTCAACTGTCTTTAGATATTGTTTTAATGTCACCTTTGCACCATTTATAACATTTTAGATTATTTATAAATGTTTATACAGTAGTGTACTGTATAGTCTAATCAACGGAATAGAGGAAATCAGCTCTAATATACAGTACTGAGGTTTGCATACTGTAAATACAGGTGATAGTTTTAATTTATTCTGGATAAAGAAAAGGTCTAAAGGAAACTACAGCTTGAAAATTTTGTTATAATCTCGATTATTTCATAAAATTGGTTAACAAAAATTTCTGCTACTTCTACGTCCATGCTTGCCAACTCAACTGATGCTCCGATTATGCAGGCTGAATCTCCAAAAATACAATTTATAGACAAAATACGTACAGTAGTCTCGGACATTGCGAATGCTAGTGTAGCGAATACCGACTGAATACAGGAACGAGACTGAGACCAAGAAAAGGTGATGCAAGATGAGATGTTTGACGATGAGATGCCATGCTTCCGTTTCCAAGATAAGAAGTTCTCGTGCAGCATACAATACTGAGAGGTTGGAGAGCTGGTTTAATTCCAGGCGGTCATTAAATAGATAGGTTGTTAAGTAAGCAGCGTCTGTATTAAAAACCTCAAGCAGGTAATATGATATATATACAAATAACATATACTGGCATCCCAGGCTTGTGCCCTAAGCTGCCTGGGACAGGCTCCAGGCCCCGAGTGACCCTGACCTGGACAAGTGGTTGCAAGATCACGAGCAGATATGCATAAGAAAACCACAGAGCTAAAGTACAATTCAAATGCTCTCCCTCATACGCACATCATCTGGCTATTGGCAAAATGTAGGTCTGCATCAACACAGGGTCAGTGTGAAATAAGCCATCTAACCATTTTCTGTACCTGCTTGTCCTATGCAGGGCTGTGAGGGGTCTGGAGACTATGGGCGTAAGGCTGGAAATAAACCTGGATGGGGCGCCAACCCACTGCAGGGCACGCACACCTACGGGCAATTTGGTAACTCAAATTCACCTTAGTGTGTTTTTGGACTGTGGGGGGAAACCACAGAACCCCTCACAATGACACAGGGAAAACACAAAAACTCCATGAACACAGAGCCAGGGTGGAGAACTTAACCCAGGTCCCAGAGGTGTGAGCCAACGGTGCCAACCACTGCACAACTGTGCCGCCCTGTGAGATGTTCATCTTTGTAAAATCAGCAGATGTAGACAATCCCAGCCATCTTTGTTCTCATAATACTTACTCCTCTTCTTCCTCGTCCTGCTCTCCCTCGTCTTCATATTTTTCATCCTCTCTGTTTATACCTTCTTTCTTGGTTTTTCTTGCCAAGGCCCGGAGTGTTTTCTCTTTGTTTTTTTGTTCTCTTTTTTTCTTCCAGTAGTCATTGAGTTTCATACCCAGTGCTGCCAGTGTCAGTCTGAGGTAAAAGGCATGCGGATTATAATTATGGTCCATCCAGTAATTATTTTGACTGCTAATACTAATAGACAATATTTTTGCATAAACAAAAGGAATTTCAACACAGTCCATCAATATTTCAAACTCCAAACAATTAAAATAAATCTGGTACCTATACTCCTTGGTATACTCAAAGTCTTGCTTATTATGTGCTGGCTTCAGAAAGTTGCACTCAATGATTCCAACAACACCAACTCCTGATCTTTGACCAGATGACTGCAAAAAAAAGAGAAATTAATGTGTAATGTTCTCTATTGCTAGTTTCATTTTAGACCTCCAAATAAACACAAATTGTAAATTAAGCTCATACGTACCTTGACTTGGCAACCCACTTTCTCATAAGATTTAATGAGACGATTCTTGTGATACATCAAAATCCCAAAGTGTTCCTTATTCTTGTAGTTAAAACCAAAGGTTATTTTAACCTTCTTGTTCTGAATGATTATGTTAAGAGAAACCAGTATTATTGAGCCAAACCCATGTGGAAATTTTTTATGGAGGCCTCTGTGGAAATTATAACATGATAATCAAGTTAAAAACACAACCAAAACACACAAATTCCGTGCAACAAAATTAGATCTTTTAAAGATTTAAAACCGGGTGTTTCATTGTCCAGCCCCTGTTTATTCTGCAAGGTGACATTTCTGAGTACAGAATTTCTGCTCCAACACACAAGTTCTTTAGAAAGCTGGTCTGACTATAGTGAAAGGCATGGATATAAAACCCAAAATCAGCAGCACAGGAAACTTCCACCATCTAACTGCTGTTATCCTGTTTATATATTTACTGCACTGAATTCAAGTCATAAACACCTAAAATATAAACTAACTAGATTCCAAACATGCAGAAACAGTTCAGTTTTTTGAGAAAGCTGCTTTACTATAATGTTAATTACTGAAAGAATTCTTCATGTGGTCTCTAAAGTACAATTTCACTTGTTGTGTATGTTGATAGACCTTCAGGTTATTTCCTTTACATTCTCCTATTAGCCAGTCATTCATATCTTTAGATTTCCCTAGCAATGAGTTTTTGTCATATTATGTTTACAGCATAGGACTTTTATAAAGCACAGCAAGTTGAACTTGCAGCATGTCTCTCCACATCCAACTCTCTCCCTCAATCCCACTCATCAGAACATTAATTGAACCATTTGGGTTACTAATTGCCCACAGATGCGTATAATTAAATGGTATGTATCTTGAAGTTTCATCCCTCTTCTGGGTTACAGTCTGATAATTTTATTTGATTCCTGATTCTCTTGTTTATGACCATTTGGCTTGAGTCTTTGTTTCACAATTCTGGATTGTCCTCATTGACCTGTTTACTCATGATCTACCTTTGCCTAACCCTTGACTTTGATTTTGGTCTGTGGAAACAAACACTGCAACTGGATCCCCACTTGTGAGTTTCTTGTCTCCTTGACCATATGTTTCATTTTATCAAAATAACCAAGAAACGAAGCCTGATCTACAACCTGTCGATGTATACAGTTACGGCTAGACCTTGTATTTCATTTATCACCATTATCAGGATCACCATAAATTGCCATTTATTTGTACAAAATCATAAACTTATAATAAACAGCCCAAGAAAATAGACACAGATTGTTAGTTTTTAAAGGATACATTGAAAGTAGGCTTGTAAACATCATTTTCAATACTGGACAGGCTCTTGGAAACTAGCTTGGTTAGGACTTTTTTCTGGCGTAAGATGATTTGTGCCCGTGGCTTTAGGTACAGGATACTGAGATAAGCCTGAACAGGATGCAAAATGTGCACAGGAAGACATAAATCATCACACAGGAGTACATTTCACATGCACATACACACATTCATTCATCAGTCTACCTTACTTTAAACCCAGAAAATCAGAATTAATTCTTGATGTGATCTGTAAAGACATTTCTGAGTTATATTACATTAAACAAGTGTTGTGAACATACACTGTACAAATGAGGGAAAAAACAATTTCCATTGCTGAAATCATAAACCTGAATTTTTTTACAAGAATTTTTAAAATTAGACTCCCCTAACTACTACATGAAAAAACAAGGCCTTTAACCACAACTGCTCTATGGCCGCTGCGTGCCCCAAAAACTGTGTAGAACATGTGAAAACCAAAGAACTTCTATGTACTTTATGTATGGCAAATAAAGTATATCATACCTTATCGTCTTGTTCATTCAAAATCCAGGCTGACATACAAATGATACTTTTAATGCACAGGTACTAAATAGTGTTTCCCTTTCTCACTGCTGGATAAACCCCAAAAATATTGATTCTATACAAAAATACTTTATATATGGCAATTATTTTTATGCTATATTTAAACACCATATTTATTCCACATCACATACACTGGCAATAGGTTCAATCTGTTCCTTTTGTTACTGACCCTCAGAGAATAGTCCATTTCTGGTGTGGTCTGATCTGTCCTTTGAGGGCCAAAACATCTCTTCCTTCCACCTGCTCCCATGTCCTCAGGACGGATTGGTGGCATTCGAATATCATATTTATCTGTGTTAAAATCCAGCTCTGGGTTCCCATCCTTGTTCCTGTGCAAAGGCAACAGCTACATCTTGGGGAATGATGTCTTGCAAGAAACTAAACCTATTCAGTGTTTTTAAAATGCTATTACTACAATTAAACCATAATCTCCAAGTTTCTCTCTGTGGGCCAAGGTTCTGTACTTCATGCACAATAACTGCATTCTGGGCCTCTGTCACACTCAGGAAAGCATAACACAGTAATGGAGAAAGACAGGGTTCTGCGCACCTGCGAATATTCCAGATCAGGATCTTGGTACCCTTCTTACTCGGGATGGTTTCCAGCTGCTCTAAGAGTTCTTCCTGTGAGCTAAACAGGGAGTGTGTCAGGATAGCCTGCAGACTTGCTTCTGAGTCCTCTGTTACCACAAGTTTTTGTGCAGGCAGTTAAGGAAAACACTGACAACAGTTCAGTAAAAGTGATATTTCACTTTCATGTTGGGTCTACTTAAGGAGGCAATTATGTTGTGACAAAACTTTCATCAATTTATGGCAAGGTTATCGATTACTTTTTTAATGATGTACAGGTAAAGGAAGTACATCTTCAGACAAATATGTACAAGTTCTTAACATTAGGAGAATGTTCATAACAATAGGAGAATTACTATTGTGTTAATATACAGTAGCACCACCAAATGCACACAACAACTATTCACCCTGTTCTCCACTGAAAGAGAAAGAGATTTGACTTAAAGAGGATATTCGTCTGCTGGTTGAAGGGCACGATGGGCACGACTACAGCCTGGGCATTAACAGCCTCCAGGTAGCTCTGGGAGAGCATTCCCACAGAGATGCAGCCTCCATTTTTGGTGAAGATCAATGCATCCTTTCCCAAACGCATTGAGCCGGATTTGAAACCATTGCCATACACACCAATAGGTTGACTGGCCTTGCTGTTGCCCTTGTCTGTGAAACCAAAACTGTTAAAGAAAAGTTAAATGCATGAACATGTTATATGAAAAACAAATAGAATGCACTTATATTGGTTCATGAGAAGTTTGTATTAATGATGAAAAGCAAACTGGGATTAAAAACCAGTCCGGGACTATGGGATCTCTCACAATAAATTTAGCTTACTGGAGGGGGTCCCATGACAACTTTTGCTGGTCCACACATCCATTGGCTTACTGGGAAAATCCCCAGACAGGAAAACATACTCACATATTAGTACATGCTAGTATTTCTGTAAATAGTACATTGGCCACTTCATGCATTGGCCTGATTTTTGAATCTCTTTTTAATAAACATGTGGAAACTGCAAAAATGTTCTTAATGTAGCATTTTTATGGTAAATAAATTTAAAACAGTTCCATAACTGTAATGTTGCTCTCATTTCTTATTGGCATGTATTGATCTACAATCTAAACAGCATATATCGAAATCCAATCCAATATCTGCCTTTAAAAATGTTTGGAAGGCTAGTTGTAGGTGTGCACTAAATTGAAAAATGTTAATATTGCTCGTTTTCTCTGCAGATTCTGAGTGATCCATACCTGAGTGATATCTCAGAAAATTTTTTAGGTGGTTACAACGTCCGTTTTTTTTTTGGGGGGTGGGTTTCCCCTCATTTAACACACCTGATTCAACTCCTTGCAATTCCTTGTGCTAATTACCACACACCACTTGAGCTCTGGTGGAAGGGAAAGAGCTAAGCTACACAGGGCTCTGGAACTCCAGGACTGCAGTTTGACACCCTTGGTATTGTTGGTGCAGCTGTTTGACTGATTATAGGCACCTGTGCTTTTGCCTGACTAATCAGGTGAGCAAGTATACACACCTTCCTCGATTAATTTGTATTATACCCTGAAGAAGACACAAGCCGCTAGGTGTGGACATTTTTAACAGTCACAGGACACATCACTATAATGGACATTTTAACTGAAGGAGTGCCTTAGTATGGAGAGTTTTTCTCTTGTGTTTTATGGAATCAGCCTTTAAAATATAAATGATCCTGTCACACTGTACATCCATCTATCCATCCATTTTCTGAAACCGCTTATCTTATTCAGGGTTGCAGGGGGTCCAGAGCCTATACCAGAGGCTACAGGCGCAAGGCAGGGAACAACCCAGGATGGGGCACTAACCCACTGCAGGGTGTCACACTGTACATGCAAACATAAATCCGTATTCAAATTTAAAGTCCTGTAGTAGGATGAAGCTATGGGGCTGCTTTTATGGAGCCTTTTTGAAAGCCCATTTTTTAAAGAATTAAAGGATTTTTGTAAAAAATCAAATAAATACTGTCACTTAACTACAGGGACAGAAGGCGGCAAAGAGAACAAAGTGCGCAACACCTTGGATGGAATGCCAGGCATTGCAGGGCACACACCCACCCACCTATACACAATCACTCACTATGTGCAATTTAGAGATGCCAATTAATAGTGGGTCTCACTGAGGGTGAAATCCAAAAGAAAAAGGCACTGATGGTAAGTGGAGAACATGCAAACTCTGCAGACAGATGGGTGGGATTCGAATAACCCAACCTCGGAAAGCTGAGTAGACATTGCTATTCTCTGAAAAATATAGTTTTATATATCACTCACAATCGCATGCTTTGCTGACTGCCAGTGTTTTTTTTTTAGTAGACTACATAATTTCATTCTCAGATTCACACAGAATGATATGCATTTTATATCAGTGATCTCTCATCGTATAATTAATAATCTTCTGTCCATTATAGTTCTGTTCTCTTCCTTCATGGTTTAATGATGATATGCTCTAACCCTCTTCCTTTCCTTCCTCTTTTTGTGCTGAGCATACGTAGGAACACCCTAAATTCACACATATTCAAACGATGTAGAAATTTAACATTAGTATTAATACAATTAGTTTTAAATCTAATGTCAGATAATGGCTTTTGAGAGAATCTGTATGACTGATCTCTTAATATAAAAACAAAACAATGCAAGCACATTGTACCGTCTCTCTCTCTCATTCTGTCTGTGTCACACACCCACACCCAAATACGCTAATATAGGATATGAGTCCTAACTGTAGCACAACTTATAATCACAAGAAAGCTGATAATAAAAAAGTTTTCAGGCCTGTTTTATCTTAAATAATTGGTTCTACTACCACATAAACCTACACACACCATACAATTAGGTCAAAGAATACACTGAAAAATTATATTTTACGATAAGACAAACACGTGACAGCATGTTTGTGAGCATGTGTGTGGTAGTAAAGATCACATGATAGTGACTGCACTCTTTGTGGTTTTGGTTGCAGCAGTGGGGAGGGGGTGTGGTTAGCACTCTGACATATTAGTCAGACGGTTTTAACTGCTTTTTTTCAGTTTTTGACTGAATGCATTCCTATTTACAACAACTCGACACCACTCAGTTGTACTTAGGCTGGGTTGCATCAACATGGATTAAATTTATCCTAGTTTAGCCTTATTCTATGGTTAGTAAATCTAGGTTTAAATTGGTGTTTAATTAATCAGAGAGAGATGCACATATTAATTTTAACCCTGGATAAGTTTACCAATTTAAACTAGGATTAAAATAGGTTCAGTGTCCACCATGGATTCCTTTGTAAACAAATTCACAATGCATCCTAGGCTAAATAAAAATAGCCCTAAATAAAGTTAACGCAAATATCTCATGAATTTTTTAAAAATAGATGCCGCTACTTTTACCACACTTTTGCTTGAGTTATGCTGATTTACTTCAATTTTTTCCACACACCTAGGACATTAATCGAGCAGTAATCCCTTCAGTTACGAAAAAGTTCCACATTCTCATCACCTGGCTTTGTAATCAAAATAAGCATGGGAGACAGAGAAAATTTGTAGGTTAAATTTCATATGAAACTATACACCAAAAAGTCGTTCTGTTAGTTATTGGGGGAATCGATCACGATCAAAATGGAACACAGCCTGTTATTTCTATTTTACTTGCAAGACCTGCGCCATGTTCAAGATTCTTATTAAATTTGCCAGCAGATCGATCTTTCAACTTCCGCAGAATAAAAAATGGTGTAACGTTATCCCGCTAATAAGCGCTGGCAAGTTTCACTGCCAGCACTGACGACATTAGACAAAAGTATATTGGTTAGTGATTGAATTTTCCATATTAATTAGTTAAAAATGTATTAATTGATGCATTAAATGTAACTGGGGTACAAAAATAATTGCATCTGCTCAGTTTTTGTTCTGCTACATCTCCTCTGCACTTCTGATAACTTCCATGTTAATGCTGGTGTTTGTAGTCAACCAAAGTTGTGGCAGTGTGAAAGTGCCTATTTCCACAGAATCTGCTCTTGTGAACTCCAGAAAGATCCCCGTCCAACATCTGATAACTCCCTGTAGCATAAAAATGCAAAACTACTACTAGGAACTGGAGAACTGGAGATACAGTTCATCTCACTAACATGCATGCTAGCTGGTCTAACCTTCCCACTGGGGTATATGACACACTCTTTTGTAAATTGGTACTGCTGGGAAAACTCACTGTTGCTTTAAAAAATTCAATTTCACCTGTCTCGAATTTTCCTATATAGGACTCTTTCCTCTGATCCCATCTAGCAAAGATAGGTACAAAATATAGCCATGTGGTCAATAAACCTGAAACAGACCTAACATAAATATGGTTTAAATATGACTGCTAATCGAGCTTTATACTACGTTTAAATTCACTGGTGCAACAGACTTGAACAGAAAGTGAAAATTAAATTGAGATTACCAAAGGTTTATATTTAACCAGGATTAACTGTAAACTAAATATAAATTATGTTTAAAGTTTAGTGCAACAGACTTAGTAGATAAATCTTGATCTAATCCAGTTCAGTTAATCCAGTAAAATTAATCCATGTTGGTGCAGCCCAGCCTTAGTGTCCTACACACTATGTAAATATATGTTCACAATGTCATTAAAAAGCAAAAATACTTTAACTGAAAGCATCAATTGTTCAAAAGTATGTTTATGTGTAGATTTACTGAGCAGCCTGTAGTTGCAACTTTGTGAAGCAGTCTATCCCAGCTGTGCAGATTCCACTGTCTGAAACAGTACAAGCACAGCACAATCACCACACTGTCACAAGTTTTTGCAGCAGAACATGGGTTTGTATAGTCTTACCTCAGCATCTTGTGCAGTTTACTTGGAGTCATCCCATTCCCATTGTCTATAAAGGTCAAACATAGCTGCTCTTTTACAACAACAACGTCGATCCATATCTGCTTTGCTGTAACACCTGGGTCAGATGCATTGTCTAATGGTAACAGAAAAGGTTCAGTCAAGTCATATGGTCAATTCATGACCATAAATCAAATAACACTCAGTAACCAGGGTGGGTACTGGCACAGATGTGGCGATTCGATTTGATTCCAATTCACAAGCTAACGATTCAGTTTAATCTTATTCAACATCAATCTGCAAGGAATGAGATGTGAAATACTATATAGCTGCTGTCCATATTTGGAGAGATGTTTCTAATGCTGTACAGTAAATGGAACACAAATTTTCAAATGCAGAGTCACTGGACGCAAATTGTGAAAACCGCTTAAGAAAGAACAAAGGCTTGTATACCAAAATCTTTAAAAAAAAATTACTTCTGACTTAAAAGAATAGCTGAAAATAAGTCTAAAACTCACATGCCACGATTGAGAAGGAGGTTAACTTAAAGATATGTGCTAAAACATAAACTAGAATCTGTATATTTGAGTAATATGCAGGTATCGTTTAGGCCTGATAATTGGCCCTGACCACAGAATTTGATTTGATTTCAATTCACAAGTGCCTAGCTGGATTCCATTTTGACCCCATTCAATCTACGTTTAAGACACCTTCACTAATCTGTGGCACAAAGAACAATAGGCACATCACTGTAGCGTTAACATTGCAAAAAGCCATGTAATTATTTAAATATTTTGTGGTTCACTGCATGATGAACATAAGTAGGCCTATATACAGTAATTATATATTACTATAATAATGAAACAATAATATGCATTAAATTTATCCTTGTAGGCCTACTTACTTGTGAATACACCAAAATATTTTGTCCATACTTTTCCCACTGCAGTTCTTGTACCCAACCAAAAATAAATAAATAATACCTGCAGACTGTGTTGCTTTCTTTTGCTTCAGTGTTACCCACAACATTTGAAAAAAACAATTAACAATATTCTCATATGGAGGGAAATCCCGGACATTTTTCAAAACGGAGTTGCAAATTGCATTTGCAATTGCGTTTTCCATATGTGGACGCATAAAGTGTGACATAATTCAAATGCAATTCCAAATTGCATTACCGTTTGCTTTTTCGCTTTCGCGAACGAACACTCATACACTGACTGCCAAATTTCAAATGAAAAAGCAAAGTCCATTTACAGTTGCATTTCCCATGTCTTACAGGTTATGAGCCTGCCATATTTAAATATCAAAATCAATTAGAACGTCTGTTTTTTCACTTTCTCTACGTCGCGTATGTAGCCTGCCAAAACTCAAACGCAATCGCAATTCATTTTGCATTTGAATTTCCGACGCATTACACGGAAACCTGTCAATCAGCGTCAGTGGTGGGTCTATTCTGTGGGGCGTGATTGTATGGGGAGTGACGTCACTCGCAGTCGACGACCAAGTGGGGGAAATGTGAGCAATGGACTCTGGAGGTGATCGGTGAAATTGTGGAGGAACTTATGATGCTAGCGCAGCAAGTTGACGATAGTTCATACTCTGCAGATTTTCTGTTTGCTCAGAAGTCATTTAGTTTTGGACAGGTTAAATGAGTTTGTCGCCGTGACGAACAACAACATCAGTAATGTTGTCTTCGCCAATCTGAGTGAAGTGGCTGGCAGGCTTTTTGTAAGGGACAGAACAACTAAAGGACCAGGACGTCCTTTTATAGACATACCACTAGAGATGATTAAGTACTACGTTGTGTGTGGTTACTCATGTGTCCAGCTTGCGCGCCTGATTGGAGTATCTGAGCAAACCATCCGTAGAAGACTGTAACAGCATGGATTAAGGTACATACAGTTTTCATAAATGCATTTGGAATATATGACACTTTATATATAACAAATATAAATACATACAATATAAAGCATACATATGGCAACTACATTTGGCGCTCCAGGCCAAAAGACTTATCCAAGGTTTTATTAGGGGAAAAAACATGCCTATTGCCATGGTAACCACAACCTTCTGCAAAAATCATATTTTAAGGTATTTGTGTGGTTATACAAATGGTGATCAGTACACCAAAAAACATAGGACGTCCTGGTCTTTTAGTAAATGGTAATGCAAAATTTGCAACTGCATTTGAATTATGTCACACTTTATGTGTCCACATATGGAAAACGCAATTGCAAATGCAATTTGCAACTCCTTTTGAAAAATGTCCGGGATTTCACTCCATATTCTCATAATCCAATATCAGTTTTCTCCTTACATCGCAATATTTTGCTTTTATGTAATGTTAATTTGTACCACCGTAAGCAGTGTACTGAAAATAACTGGTGTGAGAATAAAGCCCTACTTGACTTGACTTGCTTACATTCATGTGGTCTGAGAACTCCTTTACCATGACTGACAATTGCAACCCTCCTATAGGTGCGAGAGAAAGGCTGTGTTCAAAATTTCCACTTTTTCACTCACTCACTATGTGCGTAGAATTATTAGGGAAGTACTATTCCTGGAGCTAATTTTTAGCAAAAGTTGAGTAGACTTATAAAAGCGAATTCAGAAGTGTTCTTTTGCTCCAGGTAAATTTATTTATAGAGAAAATGTTAAATTAGTCTGTCACAAAAAAGACTTGATTATCAGTGTGCACAATTATTAGGCAATTAGAAACTAAGTGGATTTCTTTCTTCACCTTCATCAGAAATAATACCAAAGATAGTTTTATAAAGTCTATACAAGGAACAACAAACTATCAGCTGTTCTATACAGTCCACTTTACCAAGTTTAATGTCCTGTATAGCCACCTTTCTTCTCAATAACCATCATGAGCCTGTGGTCCATTGAAACAGTCAAGTTTTGGATTTTATCACATCCTATATTAGTTGAGGTAGATGGGACCACCTCTCAGATGCTGCTGAAAAGTGTGCTTCTCGCAATCTTGGTAAGTCTCACACTTCAGTAAGATAGGGGTTAAGTTAGGCGATGAAAGGGGCCAGGTCATTATTTAGTTACCTTTCAAGATTTTCTTGGTCAATCTATGGACTGCTTTGATGCATGGGAAGGGGCATTAGCCTGCATAAATATCATAACCTTTTTGAAAGTTTCTCACTTCTTCTTGTACTAGTGTTTGAAGAAGGCATCTTCTAGAAATTGGCAGTAGATCCCACACCATCACTCTTCCACCACCTTGTAGATGTTTGAAGACAGTATCCATCCTCAGGCCCATCTACCTGGTCCATCAAGAGTCACTCTCATCACATCTGTCTACAAGAAAATCACTCTTGAGATATGTCCATGCCTGTTCTTGACGTTTTAGCCTATGTTCCTTATTATGTTGAGGTGGTGTTTCATCCTTTGTGACTTTAGCAGTGCCATGTATCACACTACATCTAGGATTTCCGGAGATTCCGTTCAGATTGCAGTTTTGGAAAACTGATTCTAAACAGTTTCTGAAAGTATCCCCTTTAATTTGACATATCTTTGGCAGTTAATTTGTCGTCGTCACAATACACACTTCATCCATCTTCTTTTGATTGTTGGTTGGTTTCGACTAATTTGCACCCCTCGGACTGGCATTTTACTGTTTTGTTTTTTCCACTCTCCGGCATATTTTAATAGTAATAATAATTTGCTTAATAATTCTTTAATAATTCTGCACATGGAAGTATCTACTGTTTCCTGTTTTACTCCACACAGAAAGTACTCAGACCTCATACTGATCAGGCTGTATTTTTAAACAATCTTTTGTTAATTGAAGATTAATCTGGACTGAAACTATTGGTCGAATGAGATGATACAAACAAAATACACACTTGCCTAAATATTCTGCATGCAGTGTATAGTGCTCACTACATAGTAGGGGTGTAACAATGCATCGAATGTATCGATTCAATGGCAAACGATTCAATGCATCGATGTGACCGCATAAATGTCGATACAAGCGTTATTTTTTTCTCCTCGCCGGTTCCAGTATTGTTTTCATGATCCACTCCGACGGAGGAGGACTGTTTTGTTTTTTACCATGTCATATTCGAAGTGCATTTGCCTCATCTGTCAGTCTACCACTGCTATTCCGAAGAAGGGCAATATGGAGCGGCATTTTCGGACTGTTCATAAAAACTACGACATACGACTTCCCTCCAAAAAGCAAGCTGAGAAAGAGAAAGGTGAAGGAATTAAAATCCCAGTTCAATTAAAAAATAAAAATACTTTAATACTTTAATACTTTGAAATTAATAGTAATAATAATAAATAATAATAATAATAATAATATTAAATAATACTCAATATTTTAATATATAAATATATGTTTTGCATTTTTTATAGTAGGTAGATCATTTTGACTTCGTCATTTATAAGTAGCTTGCAAGCTAGCCTACCTTCAGTGTGTGTGTTTAGTATGGCAGGTGACATAGGACACTACACTCAGAGCACACAATCTCCCGAACATGTTGACCATTCAATTTTTCAAAAAAAAAAACCACTCAAAGAAAATTACTGACATGCTTGTTTCACCGTAGAAGTCAGTCTTGTTAATCTTCCTCATTCTACATGTCTGTCCATGCAGTGTTTTTTATTTTTACCTTATTGCACTTTATTTTGCTTTTTATGGGACATACTTGACTACACTAGATTTTGTTTACAGTTCCCAATAAAATATGATAAAATGCTAATTATATTTGCCTTTTTTAATTCATTGAAATGTAAAGGATTGTGTGAAATTTCATCATTTCGACTACTACCCTAGTATCGAACTGAATCGAATTGTATCGTATCGCATCATATCGTGGGAATTTCTGAGGTATCAAAAAAAAATTGAACCGTTGGCTTAATTAAGGAATCGATACTCTATCGTATCGCGAGGAAAGCTCTGATTTACACCCCTATCAGATTGTGGTTGATACATTTCAGACAATACGCAGATGTCATACACTGGATATTTGTAATTGTTATCTGTCGCATAAATAAATGGCAGTACACCCCCTTTTGCATTAAACTATAATGTGCCTTTTTCTTTATTATATATTTTTTGATGATGTTTGAACTTGTTGTTCATTATTATAATAAAAAATACACCAGAACACAGACACCAACATTGTGATTTTCAGATAAATACACATTGTAGTTGACATATGTCTTCACAATGTTGAAATAAAAACCCAAATTTACAACCCAAATCTGTACACACATAACATTATTTACAATATACTTGACTGTACTGTATCCACCTATGCAAGTGGACTACAGCGTTTTATACTAATCGTCAATATACTGTCAAATTCATTAGAATAAACATTGGTTATTAAAGCAGCAGAAGTCCTGGCACTGTTAAAGTGAGCTATTTAAAATGGTTAATGGTCACAGTTCGGACTGAGTAAAGATTCTCAAATATGGTTCCAACCCTCACGTAACAGGCCACAATTCATGATGGTCTAAATATAGTACAGCTTCTGCACACTAAAATTTGGTGTGCCTCACGCTGATTTTATAGTGCACTATGTAGTGAATCAAACTTACAGTGGTGAATTCAAATAGCACTACAAAATGGTCGACTCATTATATAGTGGGCGAGTGGACATTTCAAACACAGCCAAAACAGCACCACCTGTACAGTAAGAGGACCAATACAAATAAAATTCAGCAAAATATTTTCAAAGTCACCGAGATAAGGCATAAATTAACTAGATCGATCTTGGGATTTTATATATCAATACTGAATCGTCAAAACCAGGATCGCTATTAATCATAAATTTTTTCCCAAACCTACTAAAAACTTTTACAATGCTTTGTACTTACATATATTACAAAAAGAAATTTGGCAAATTATAGCCATTTGATTAATAGAATAATTAAAGCAAAGATTTATTAATTTTAGAGAATATTGGAAATTGAATTAAAATTTAATAAAATTCTGCATCATATGTGAAATACAGTTCCACACATTCATGCTGGGGAAGGTTTCAGTGTACAATTTAACTATGGCATCTATCCTTGTACCCTGCCAATGTACCAGCAATGACACATCCCAATACCATTTTCTAGCCATTAGCTAAACGATTGTAATAAAAACCATTTTAAGAAAGATTTTTTAATGATCTACAACGTGGTACGCCAGATGCACAAGGAAGGACCAGAAAACTCTGGTTACTAAGATGTTCCAACCATCACCCACACACAATTGCGAGCTGTTTCACCTTGTTAAAGATCCTGCCCATCCTGCCCATCACCTTTTCAAGTTGCTGCTCTCTGGAAGGCATTTCATGGTAACTGCTTCACAAGACTGAAAAATAGTTTCTTCCCCCTTGCTGTTAAACTGCTGAACACCATCTGATGCTGCCTCCAATGGTGGGTGCACACATGGACAGTCATACACACTCACAAACACACATAACATTGACCCTCTTGTGCAATGTATGCATTCTGGCTGCATCCATTGTTTTACTGGTAATTTAGTTTCTCATTACTGCTTAAAATGCTGTTTATTATTTCAACTTACCTATAGTCATCTGTGATTATTGCACATTATTTGTTGTTGTTTGTGAGTAGTACACATTGTTGTTTGCCTGTCTTAGACTTGTTAACTCAAGGACCGCCATCAAAATGTTTAGTTGGGATTTTTATGTGATTGAATGATTGTTGAATTTACAGAGTTTTAGTGCAAATAATTAGGCCTATAACAATAAGTAAATCGTTTTAGTAGTTTAAATTTTTATTAAAAACATAAATAGGGAGGAACAAGCAAATAAAATCGAATGTTTTAAACCGGCAGAAACTGTAAGCTTTGTCGATTCAAGCTTCTGAAGACATAGGGAAGGATAACTTATAGTTCTAAAGATGTACCACCTCAAAGCGTGGAAAAGAAACCGGGTTTGTCATAAATAAGCTTTAAATATCACGAACGGTGAAAAAGTTAGATTTTATGCAGGTTATTTTTTCTTAGTTGTTTTCTGCAGTAAAATGCGTTTCGTAATGGACGACCGCTTGTTTGATATCCGGTTGTTGTTCCACCTTTAGCCCCCACAACTACTTGAAAACATTTCTGAAAGATTAAATTATAATACAGTACAAATATCCATTCACGCTCGTGCGTTGACCTTATGCGTTTTAAATACCTTTCAAAGTGTTAGCCTATATAAGGCGCCTAAAACGTATAATGACCCGATTGTTAAAATTTTCCCTATTTTCCAGACCAAAGTCAATTTTAGATATATTTCAAATAAAAAACAAAAACAACAATAACTTTTAATTACACGTAGACATCCGACTAAATCCGAATAAATTAGGGCTATGGTCAAAGACAAAAATACAAAATACAAAAATACGTATTTATCAAATATACTTCAAACCACAATTAAACTTTGCTGGAATATACTGACTAGAGAATTAAGCCAAAATATCAATCCCAATGTCAAATGTATACATATAAAATACGATTCATTGAAAATCGGCCGCAACATGCACGTTTGTAAATTGGTGGTTTCATTTTCAGTTGGTTACAAACACAGACAGACTTCATCCTGCGCAGGGAAGATGTACGTGACAGAAGTTTTACCTTTTTACCATTAAAATGTCTGATTTTGCATTTAAAATAAAACGTAGAGAGGCCTTTTTTACCATTTTAATGTCTGTAACTTCGATTACCTGTAACTATAAAAAATATCTAAATACTTCAAAATACTACAGAATGCCATAAATTTACATACTCCTGTGTTTAGACTACTAGATTGCACGTATTTCAAGTGTGTTGAGGATTAAATCTCAGCCGTTCTCCACCTAAAATATTGTTTATGTGTACAAACTTGTTTCAAAATTAATACTCCGCAAAACTGTCATGTTGTGATAAATGGTATGCTTTAAAAGCGGGCTGAAAAAAGGAAGACCTTTTTTTGCTAGTCACGGAGAATTTAAACGTCCGGTTCATTTCTGCTTCAGTGCTGCGAGTGGAAAGGACAAGCGTCATTTCTAGGTTAATTACGTTTCGTTTATTTTATTGAACTGATAGAAACTGAGGCTCTGCGCAATATACGCACAACAATGTCTGCATGCTGAGATACGTGACGCGTAACCCTTCTGCAGGCCTTCACCAATGGTAAAGTACAGAGTGTAACTTTGTTGCAGCCCATTGGACAGTTAATACGGAAAATGAGCGCAAATGTGGTTCAATATCAACTAAAAATGTAACGTAACACAGGAATATTAAAAGTTCCCAAGAATAAACAATTCATTGTTTTTATTAATGGCTAATTTTAAAGTCTCGTTATAAGGTAAAGTGCTGCCGAACTGCTTTATTTGACATCACTTTTGTTCTGCTTCTGTATAGTCGTATATGCACCGTAAAAGTGGCTTTCCCAATATTATAACGTAAATCAGACTAGTAGCAGATGATTATTGACATGCAATAAATACAGGGAGATGCATTCTGTATTTAATTAGCTATATTTTTTGTTTAGAATCACCGAAAGCAAACAGGCGTGGAAAGCGAAATGCTTGTCTTACCTACTAGTTCGGCCACTGCACTGAAAGGCCAGGTATGACTTGTTGAATTGCTGTTCAAGTACGAGGGGCTCATCTAAAACAATTCCCAAAACACGTTGAGGATATGCATGCATTAAACTGATTGAATTGGCCTCCTATTTCACAGTCAAATAAATTGAAATACTTACACAACTCAGACGAATTCCCTGCTCGCTTAGCCTCGCCATGTTTTCAAACCGAATAGGCTACTTCATGAAAAACGCTAGTCGCTTCAGGGGTAAAAACTGTCGCAGCAAGTGACATGCGCGCCACAAGCCAAACTTTTAAAAAAGCTCGTTCCGTTATTTGTCTCTTTATGGTTTAGTTCGTTCATGCTGTGATATATTTTGTAGCTTGGAAAAATGAGTATACGCACACACTGCTGACAGACTTGGGACGCTTGCTTAATTAGGTTAAAAAAATGCAAGTTTATTGGTTTTATTAAAAAAATACTACTTAATTCATTCGTTTACAAAAATATATCACATTAGAAACAATCAGAACTGTTCTCGGTTTAAAAGTTTATTGGCATGTAGTCTCGTGGGATGCTTTTTAATTACTAACACCATTGCAATAACATGAAACACCAAATATTTGTGTTTAGTATCCCTTTGGGAGCCAATGACTACAATTGCAATTAACAGCAAAACTGTCTCAGAAAATGACACTGAATAAACAGAATATGTGCGGAAGATATGTGCAGGTATGTTAAACATTGTCAATTACAAAACCAATAAATTTGCAGCGTTTTTACATAATTAAGCAAGTCTACCAAAACTTTATGTGACCACTGTGTGTGTATAAAAGCCTAAACTTTCTATCAAACAAGTTAAATAATCTAGAGAGATGTAGTTTTGATTGACTATCCACCCATTTACTGAAACCGCTTGTCCTACTAAGGGTCGCAGGGAGTACCGGAGCCTAACCAGTATGCTCCAGGTGCAAGGGAGGGAATAATCCAGGATGGGGTGCCAACCCATCACAGGGCTTCATTGAATATATAAATCATAATAAACTGAATAGATATACAATATAATGATGACATTTACTAGTATTTTTACATATTTCGATAATTTTTATACTTAACCAAAGTTAGACATTACAACATTTTAATTAAAATTTTAAAGCTTCTGCAATCTAAAAAGTGGAGAATGTATCAGATTTAAAAATTGAATAATAAATGAGCTATTTTAAATATTACTTAGCAAAAATGTTAGTTGTAATTTATCCACACACTAACATGTTTGTTGTTTTATTCTTTCTGAAGATTACATTCAGGACAAGTAGTCTGCAGCTGAAGGTAATCCTCACACAACTGTTGTTTGTAAGGGGTGGGAAACATACTCATTATGGACAAGAGCTTGTGCCTCATTTTTCTGTCCACCACCACTTCTAGGATGTCATGACCAGTCAAAAGCACAGAACTAGCCTTTCTGAACAGCTTGTTTACTCTCTTGGCCTCCCCAGCTTTTATGCTGCTGGAGCAACACACACCAGTGTAGAGAATAGCTGCTGCCACCACAGACTCATATAAAGTCTGTAGAAGTGTCCTGCGTACACTAAAAGAACTTAAGACCTGTTTCTACATCTCTATGCCCTGAACTGTCAATCATGTACATCATACTTATACATGCATCTGGACGTAAGAAGAAGTATGAAGAGAAAATAAGTTTGAGCTTAACAAAACCAAACAATTGCAATCCAAGATAAACAATGTTACAACGCTGACCCCCACCAATCTATGTCAAGCCAGGTTTTCTTACTAAGACCATGGCCCAATCCTAAGGTCCCCACTATGTCCTAAGCCTGAGCCTCTTAGACTTAATTGACATCACCTGGTAAGCAGTGGTGGGCACAGCTAACCAAAAAGATGGCTTAAATAACCACTTATACACTAAGTCCAAAGTTACAGTGAGGGAAATATATTTATTATTTTTATTTACCTTTATTTTACCAGGAAGTCCCATTGAGATATTAAATCTCTTTTACAAGAGAGACCTGGCCAAGGTAGCAGCCATACAAAACATAAACATATACATGACAATAAAACATTAAACCGCAAAACAGAAGAACAATTGTTTTTGCACAGTGGCTTCTCAAGCAAAACATTGACATTCCTCAGTCACTGAACTATTTATGATGATCTTAAAATCCTTTAAAGATATTAGTGTTTGAAATTTAAGAACTTTTTGAAGGTTGTTCCATGACCATGGTGCGTAATATGAAAATGCTGTTTTGCCAAGGTCTGTCAGGACCTGGGGGACATACAAAGGCAACCACTTGGAGGCATGCAAGTGGTAGCTATTGGAGCTGATGCAGAGTAGGGTACTGAGATATTCTGGGAGTTCACCCAGCAAAGCTTTGTAAACAAACATGTACCAATGCCGTTTTCTACGGATGGTTAATGACGTCCAGCCAACTACTCGTATAAAATGCAATGATGAGTGAGGGATTTTGCATTTAAAATAAAACGTAGAGAGGCATGATACATTGAATCTAGGCTCCTTAAAGTGGAGGAGGCCGCATGCATGTACAGCATATCACCATAGTCTATCACAGGTAATAATTATATGACCCCCTGTTGAATTTATAAAGTCAATTATAAAGTCTATAATTTCACTGTAGGGTTTTTTTAACATCACAAGATTATTTGTTGAAAATCTGTCAAGAAGAAATCATTATGTATTTTGTGATTACTGCTCGTCTGATCCTCCTGTGTGCCACACCCCCCTCACTACCTCGTGTGGAATCCCAATGTCACCAGCTGTTTCCAGTCATGTTGATTAGTCCTGTGTCTTTAAGTCTATGTTAAAGTATGTTTCCCCAGTCCGGTCATTGACGTTATGTGGTTGTCTCCCGATCGTGGTTTTCCTTTGATTAAACCTCGCATTCTCCCAACACTTCGAGTCCTGCCTCTGCGTCCCTGGACCGCGCTCCCCAATACGTAACACCTGCTTATAGAGATCATGGTTATAGTGGTTCAAAATTGCTTATATGGATCAAAAAGCATGGGACAGAATCATTCCTATACAAATACTGTTTAAATAATTTGCTTATTGTAATCAAGTAATCTGCTTACAGTGTTCATTTTGGGTCTTTTTATACATGACAACAGCGTTTCCCCTAGGTTTACAGCTTGGGGGGCAGACAGACACTGACAGGATTCATGGTGTTCATGTGTATCTTTTAATGACAGCAGTCAATATAACAATGCAGATATTTTTGTCTGCTTTTCAGGTGGTTGACACGACATATTTTCCAACGCGCACTCCACGGGTGGGAGTGTGCTCACCTGACTGTGCGTGCACGTGTCTGTGCGCATGCATCGAGGCGGAACTCTGCCATGCGCAATACAGAGAGCAGAGGAGAATTATAAACGTGCCACCGTGTAGAGACAGGGGCGGGAGGTGCCGTTGGGAGGCAGGGTGCCCCCCTAATTTAATGGTAGGGGAAACACTGCACAATATACGTAAAAAGATAAACCTACGCATTTTTTTTTTTTACTTTACTTTGATGAGCCTACTTTGCCTTGCGGAAACCCGTCTGCTTCTGTCTAGCTACCTGAGGCTAATGCTGCGTGCACAGAAAATAAGTTGGGAAAAGAAAGTAATTTTTTCTCAAATTGGCATTGGTGAATGAAATCGGCATTGGTGAAGGGACTGCACAATAAGCAACAATAACACAAATCCATGAATGACAGGGAAACACGGGGACGGTAAGGCACACACACGGTGGGTAATTATAGAATGGCTAAGACACTGAAGGATCAGGCAAGAACTAAGTACTACCACAGTTCAAGGCACACAATACAACTGGATACACTGCACAACAAGTAACTACACTTAAAAACACAAACAGGGGCTATATATAAGACATACACGGGGCTATATACACACACTTGCGAGGCGTGCCGGGACATGCAGATACAGTATTATAGCGTATTTTAGGTCTGGACGATTCAGGCTAAAATGTGAATCATGATTTTTATCCATGTGAATTGAGATCACGATTCTCTCAAACTATTTTCCTTCTTTCAGCAAACACATTTATTGCACTAAAGTAAAAAAAATGTGCTTTTGACAGTGACTTTCAACAATAAAAAATGTACTATTAAAGTGTTAGAAGCTATGACTGTATGAGGAAGGTACCGGTAAGGTGGCACCTCTCTGGTGGCGTCGGTAAGAACACTTGGGAAGGTAGATGCAGTTCCAAACTTTACTGCATTCAATTAGGTAGTACAATATTGCACTGGAGTTCACACAGGCTGGCCATTGGCTGTTACAGGTGCAATGACTTAGTTGTAGACAGGGTGTGCATGTGGTCTAAGGAAGGAAATAATATTATATAATAAGAATATGGAGACATGTTCAGCTAAATAACACAAATACAACCACTTTAGGCCTATATGATCTCTAATCGTCAATAATATAACAGTACTACCATCTACTGGTTAACCTCGGTACATACCGAATACATAATAATACTACTACCCTGGCTTAATGTACTGTATTATCCCGTCTCTCCTAAACACTTTGCAGTCTAATGAGAACTGACTAACAAAACAAATTTAACACACAAGATACACAATTACAACAGTGAACGCAGAATACAGAGAATCTGCCTGCAATACACTCGGTAGCTGATCTCCACAAAAGTTACACGCTAACAAGTTAGCAGTTGACCGCACTGCAATATTACAGCACCAAATGTAATCAGTCCAGGACCAGTCATTTACAGTTCATCAGTGACACACAATACTGCACCCCTGAGTATGGTGAGTGACTGGCCAGGATCCCTTGGCACTGGGTAGGATGAACCAGTGCAGCACAATCAGAAAACCACCGCTGAAAACTCAAAGGAGACATTCCTGACGCTGATCCAAGTGCATGCGCATCGGCATCCCATTTACAGAGACGACCTTTCCAACATATAGACAACACTTGAAAGTTTCTTGTAAAAAAAAAATATGGTCTATTACTTCCCTTAAATACTTCCCTTAAAAGTAAATAACTTAAAATCTGTTGAACATAAATAATAGAACTTTAGTAAATTAAAATAATTAAAAAAAAATTATAAACATGTAGCACTTGCATTTTTGGGCACTCAGTCAACTACAGCACTTATAGGTTTTTGGCCAAGAACACTAACTTATCAACATTTTGAGGCTTAAGAGAGGAATGCAGGCATGACACAATGTTCCCTCCTGTGCTGAAAACCCTTTCTGAGGGGGACCTTGTTGCAGTGATACATAGGTATTTCCTGGCCAAGATAGTCTTGGATATTGGCCCTTGTGTTCTTTCTACCAGAAAACAGGGTCATCCTCACTGTCAATGTTTCTTGTGAACATGTATGAGCCTAGTTGTATGTCAATATCACACTCTTTAGAAGAAGCATCAGATGGTGCTACTGCCACATTGCCCTGTGCCAATTTAAAAAAGCTCCCCAAGGTCTTTCTCTTCTTTTAGAACATAAGAACATAAGAACATAAGAAATTTACAAACGAGAGGAGGCCATTCGGCCCATCAAGCTCGTTTGGGGAGAACTTAGCTAATAGCTCAGAGTTGTTAAAATCTTATCTAGCTCTGATTTTTCTCCAGAGGACAGTGCAGGCTGGGCAGTGGGACCAGTTGTGGGAAGCGTTTGCTTAAAAAAAGGAAAGATCACAAAAATATCTTAACTATACTTGCAAAGTGAATATATCAGTAGTTTAAAACTAAGGTGGTTTAGCTAAATCCAATTTCCAAATTTTCCAATTTATGCAACTGTAAAAAATGTAGCTGAATGTAAATTATTCTGTGTCATGCCCCGATCGTCCACTCCTCTAGTGTGCCACGCCCCCTCGTTAACCCCATGTGGATTCCCCGTGTTTACCAGCTGTTCCTGATCGTTGTCAATTAGTCCATTGTATTTAGTCCGCGTTTCCGTTTGTTTCCCCAGTCCGGTCATTGTAATGTCGATCTGTGTGTTGCCGTCTCCTTCGTGTGAATCCCTCATTAAACCCCGTATTCCCCTTATCCTACGTCTCCTTGCCTCTGCTTCCCTGTTCAGCGTATGACACTGTGTTACAAAAAAATGTTTCCTGTAAAGATATACTTACAATGGCAATAGTAGTCATCTCATTCTTGAGTCTGGCCTTAACAATGGCTTTGTCGTCCTTGCTGACATAGTCCAGTTTAAACTGGATCCACTGCTGTGGCTATTTCGAGGAAGTCTTGAGTGTTTGGATCACTGTATTTTTCTTTAAGGTAATGCAGGATTTTTGTATTCAATAATCGTGTAAGATCCATGTCATCTTCTTGTACTGCCATCATTGTCTCAAAGAGGCAGAGGACTGGTTTTACTGAGGAAATGCTAACATACTGCTCTCCTGAGAGAGCATCAGTAAAGTCTGCCAGTGGGGTGAATGTTTTGTTGAACATTTCAAGGACTTCAATCTCTTGCCAGGTTGGTATCAGGTGTCTAGCCTTCTGCTCAGAGGAGAGAACATGTACAATAGCAGTTTGCTGTTCAAGGATCCTTTGAACCATAGCTTGTCGGGATCCCCATCTTGTTGGACACAGTTTTAAGCTGGTGCTCAGGTAGGTTGAGGTCCTTTTGGTCAGCAGCAAGCTCCCTCGTCCACTTCCAACTGTGACTGAAGTAGGCCACAAGTTTTTTGCAGAGAGCCATAGCACGGTAAAACACGGTGAATCTTTCATTGCATTCCCTACAAATAAAATTATTCCTTGTTATAAACTCTTCAGTAAATCATTTAACATTCCATACACTTTCTTGCACTGTTAATGCTAAAACAGCAAATATAATATACAATGACGTGAGACAAGCATATTTTTTTTTGGGATAAGCTTGTGTGTGTTAACTTGAAAATATTAAAACATTTCTATATACAATTCAAACAGTAATAATTAAAGGCCACCCATTTAAATTATAGAAACAGTGAAGTTTTCAATGTAATTTAAATTCAAAGGTGTTAAATACAACCATTCAACCTTTTTTTTCTCTTTTTTTTATTATCTTGCTTAGGTTTGATTAAGACATGTTTATTAATATATAGTAGCTTATGTGTGGGCTGTTATTTATTTTTTCTATGTCATTGTATAATTAAATCTTTACAATCCTTTTTCTGATTTATGTCACAAACCTGCTTGGACCCACAGAGGGATTATTGACAGAGCCTTTATTTAACCGTGCTGATGGAACAGGGACTGGGAGCAGGCAGAGACGTGGTCGTGCAGACAGGAGATCGGGCAGGCCAGGGTCAGGATCCGGATCCATAGTCGGGGTTGCAGGCAAAGGGGTCGATAGCCGGGGGGTCCGTCCGAAGACACAGACAAGGCACACGGGGTACTCACAAGGAGGAAGAGCGAGGGGAGGAAGGGCAGGAGGGAGGTTGAGACAGAGCTTTAATAAGGCAAAGGGTAAGTCGTCACAGGCAATCGTCAGCCCCGCGAAGTGAGGAATGGAGAGAACCACCACCTGGGTAACCGGAGAGGTGTTGAGAGGCAGAGGGGCTTCTCTAGGGGCGCCAATCAGGCAAACAGGTCCAGAGGCGGCGAGCGGTAGTCGTGGTCATAAGACGTGAGCGAGGGTCGAAAGCCGATGGGTCAGTCCAACAGGCACACAAAGGACTTGGGAACAGGCGGGCTGGATGACAGGGGAAGCTGGGCTCAGCAGGACAGGCGGGTCACGGACGGGAGTTGGACTAAGGAGGTAAGGAACAAGAGGTAAGGATCTCACAATAGGTAGACAGGCAAGAAACGGGAGCAAAGGGAAACGGAAGACAGAATAACGCTCAGTAAGGCTTCTCATTAGCGCAATACTTCGCGGTTTGTTTGCGATTGACTCCGTCTTTATATTGAGGAGGTGATCAGTCCCTGATGTCCTGCACCTGTCTGATCCGCCCCCGTGGGTGTGACACCGTAGCATATTTGAATTATACATCGTTCAGTAATTAATTTGTACAGTACTGTAATTTGAAAAGCATTTGAAACTGCTGTGCTGTATTTTTAAAGAGTCAATAAAATTTTGTAAATAGCGACGCTGTCTGCTCTATTACTATATATTCATGTAATAAATATACAAATACCAATTAGATGGTAATTGTCATGATCAGCTCCATCCGCTCCTGATGTGTGCCACGCCCACCTCGTTACCTCGTGTTCAGCCCTGATTGTGATCACCTGTGTCCTGTTATGTCTAGCCCGTCTTTTGTATTTAGTCCTCGTCTGAGTCAGTCTTCCCCAGACTTGTCATTGTATTGTCCGTAGATGTCCATCTGTCGTCCAATAAAACCACGTTTACCTGAAGTCCTGGCTGCAATTCGCCTGCTTTCCGGCTTGCCTGATCCCGAACGTGACAGAATGACAAGTCTCCACGAAAACACAGCGCGGCAGACCAAGCACCAGCAGCTCGGTCTGCTGCAGGAGGCTGTGTACTGGCGCTCCCAACCCGAAGTGCTGGAGGATCCTGTAGCCCTGGAGCTGGCCACCCGGGGCGCGGACCTCCTCACCGAGGAGCGCCCGCCCGGACAGCAGTACCCACTCAAGCGGGTACGCAAATGCCTACGCCGCCTGCATGAGCGTCTCACCCAGCAGAGAGACGAATGCGTTGCCCGGAGCCTGGGCGACGTGTTCGCAACGGCTCCGCCTTCCGCCGCCCACAGAGAGAAGAAGCGGGGAAAGAAGAAGGCTGAAACACTGCAGGAAGAGACCCCGACTCTCTTTCTGGGAGCCTGCTCTCTGCTCCCTGCCTGGGAGTTGGCCAGGGAGCACGAGGGCTCACCGCTCCCCTGGGAAGACTTTGCTGCTACCCGCCTGGCCGGCTTCCACCAAGAGAAGCCGCCTCCGTTAGAGGCTTATTTTCATCGGCCGGAGCGTCTGGGGCACGGCGGCATTCGCGCCGTGAGAGACTCCATTCCCCGGGTCCCTAAAGCCCTTAATGCCATCCTGGCACCTGTTCCGGAGCTACCCGCCATTCCGGACCTGCCTGCTCCGGATCTGCCCGCGGTAACGCCTGCTGCTGCTGCCGCTCTGCCCGCGGCACCTGCTGCTGCCGCCGCTCTGCCCACGGCAACGCCTGCTGCCGCCGCCGCACTGCCCGCGGCACCACCTACTGCTGCCGCCGCACTGCCAGTTCCCCCTGCTGGCCGCGTGATGGCGGCGCTCACTGCAGCGCTCCCTGCTGGCCAGGAGCTGAGGATGCCCGCTGCGGCACTGCCCAAGGTGGCCACGGATGCGCCCCCTGCTGGCCGCGTGATGGTGCCACCCGCCAAGGCGCCCCCTGCTGGCCGCATGAGGGAGGTGCGCGGCGAGGCACCCCCTGCTGGCCGCACGAGGGAGGTGCACGCCGAGGCACCCCCTGCTGAGGTGCCCCCTGCTGGCCAAGTGATGGCGACGCCCGCCGAGGTGCCTGCCAAGGCGCCCCCTGCTGGCCAAGTGATGGCGGCGCCCGCCAAGGCGCCCCCTGCTGGCCACACGCCCGCGGCCCTGCCTGAGGCCGCCTCTCCCGTCCTGCCCGCGGGCGGCCCTGCCTGAGGCTGTCCTTCCCATCCAGCCTGTCCTTCCCGTCCAGCCCGGCTCTCCAGTCGAGCTCGTGGCTCCGGCTGCACCAGAGGCCCTGCCTCTAGTTCCCCGAGCCCTAATGACTCCCTCGCCCCTGCCCCGACAAGGCCGACACCCCCCGGGACCCCGCCTTTCGGTGTCCCGCAAGGGACGGGGACATAGGCGCCGGGCTCGGGTCCCGCCTGCCCTGCCCCCTGGCTCGCCTGTTCGGCCCCTGGCTGTGGCTCGGTGGCTGCCTGCGGGTCCTGCGCCTCAGGGTCAGCGGTCTCCGTCGGGTCCCCCCCTGGATCCTCGGTGCCGGTCCTCGGTCCCGCCTCTGGCTAAGTGTCGGCCGCCTCCGGGCCCCCCTGCTCCGGCTCTGGCTGCGCCTCCTCCTGCCGCGGCTTCCCCCTCCTGCCTGCACCGGTGTTCCCTCCTGCTCCCTCCTTGTCCCCTCCATCACTCCCTCGTCCCGTTCCCTTGGCCCCTGGGTGGTCCCCTCCTGCTCCCTCCTCCCTCTCGCCTGCGGCCCCTCCGGCCTCTGCCTGTCGCCCGCCTGGGTTCCTTCGGGCTCCCCTGGTTCCTCCTCCCTTTCCCTCCGTCCCGCCTGTTTCTGCTCCTCGTCCCTCTGTGTCTCCTCCGTTCCCTTCTGGTCTCTTTGTCCCTCCTGTCTTTGCTCCTCGTCCCTCGGTGTCTCCTGTGTTCACTCCTCGCCCTGTTGTGCCTCCGTTTTCTGTCCCCTCTGTGTCTCCTTTCTCTGTCTGTGTTTCCTGTTCTTTGTCATGTCTTGTCCTTCTTGTCCCTGTTTCTGTTTTGTGTCTCGGTTCTGTTTCCTGTGTCCCGTTGATGTCTTGCTTTTGTCTTTCAGGTCCTGTTCCCTCGTCCCGTCCGTCGCCTCCTCTCAGGTGCGCCCGGTGTGCGCGCCTTTGGGGGGGGGGTTCTGTCATGGTCCGCTCCTGATGTGTGCCACGCCCACCTCATTACCTCCTATTCAGCCCTGATTGTGATGACTTGTGTCCTGTTATGTCTAGCCCGTCTTTTGTATTTAATCCTCGTCTGAGTCAGTCTTCCCCAGACTTGTCATTGTATTGTCCGTAGATGTCCGTCTGTCGTCCAATAAAACCACGTTTACCTGAAGTCCTGGCTGCAATTCGCCTGCTTTCCGGCTCGCCTGATCCCGAACGTGACAGTAATCTGCCTGAGACAAAGAAAAAGGAAATAAATTAGTTATTATGATCATCCACTTATAGTGATCAGTTTCACCCAGACAAATGTGATTATAAGCACATTCCACTGAATTAACTGACACCAAGCCAGCATTCACATTTAATGACATTACTTTGTTAAATAGTATTCTTGGGTCACTAACCTGTCTACATCTTCCCTATCACCATGGCAAAGACAAAAGAGCTGTCTGAGGACATCAGATAAGATTGTTGGACTTCATAAAGGGTAAATGGGCTACAAGGCCATACAAAATAACTGTGAATCACCCTTGGTCTGGGGCCCCAAGGAAGAACTTGTCTCGTGCAACATCAGTAATGTTAATAACAGTTTGGTCTAAGCCCAGAAAGACACAGGAGGAGCTTGTTAATGATCTCAAAGCAGCAGGGACCACAGTCATTGGTAACACATTATGCCGCTACAGTTTGAAATCCTGCGGTGCTCGCAAAGTATCCCTGCTCAAGAGGGCCCATGTTCCGGCCCTTCTGAAGTATGCTGGTGAACATCTGAATAATACCAATGAGGCATGGAAGAATGTAATGTGGTTAGATGAAACCAAAATTGACCTGTTTGACATCAACTCCACTCACCATGTTTGGAGGGATAAGAATGCTGACTATAACCCTAGGAACACCACACTTTGTGCCTGTCATAGACAGTAGGACCAGTCAAGCGGTGCTGGAGGATTGGCATGTTTGGGGGCTTTGAAAATCCAATCTGTTGGACTAAAGTTATTACTAGGGGATATATAGCACCTACCCAGTTGGGTATTGTTGGATTCTGTAGAGTCTCCGCAATAAATTTGCGTTGAAATTTTCTGTCTATGATATTCTGTTTGCGAGATACAGAGAAGTCCTATTTCAGAACTGGCCCATGTTGTCATTTTGCCCTCAGTGAAGCTGCTTAGGGACAACAAATATGGTGCTGTTTACCCAGAATTAAGAAGGAGGTTCTCAGCTCTTTATTAGTCTATGGATCTGTCAATCAGAACCTCGAGAATACAATCAGGGGCCTGCCTTATAAAGCAGGATTTCTTGCTTAGCTGGATAACTTGTCAGATTTAAGGTAGTCTAGGGTATGACGTTAAATTGCCCTGCAAGTGGTCTTCCAACCTGCAGTGAAAAATTTTGGGGGTTGGTAGCAGGATTGGTACTCCAGCCACCATAAAACAACTCACAACAGCTCAATCTAAACAGGCACGACAGCCTTCCGCTCTCTGCGGGAGTAGCTCTGCTGCAGCCACCCACAGGAAGGCTGCACATATCTTGAAGGGGATGAGGGAAAGCCTTCACAATCCTTTTCCCCATGAGAGTCGGAACTGTTGGAGAGCTAATTGGGTCAGGCCTGTTGGGGATTGGGGCTGGTCTTGTGCTGAGGCGTCACCCCCTACGTAGCGGCACTTGAGCCCCAGCTTGAGGCAGCCTATCCGGTAGGCACGTGGAAAGTCTTGTCTCTCCGGAAATATGACCATCTTCCTCTGCTATTGGGGGAGCTTCCTAAATTCTACATTTCAGTATATGCAGACCAGGGAGCAGCCAGATCTCTGTAGATGGGTACCTCTACTTCTAGTCTGGTCGATCTGATAGCTGCCATACTCAGGGAGTAGCGGATCACCTCCTCCTAGTCTGATGTCACTCCTTTCAACAAACATATTAAGAGACTCAGGCTAAGGCACTCTTTGGGTGTCTTGTCTATTGTCTCAATGTATACTCCGACTGCAGTGAGTGATGTCTCGATGAGGAAGACATTTTATTCACAGCTTTGCTGGGTGGTTGATGGGTACCCATGAGGTGACACTCTTTTGGTTATGGGTGATGCGACCACTGGCACTGACAGGGCTGGCTCTGAGGATTGTATCGGTCCCCACGAGTCTGGCAACTGTGGTGAAAGTGGCTCCATATTCCTTGACTTTGCAAAAAGACAGGAGCTGTGGGTCATTGGATCCTAGTTCCAACACCCTGAGCGGCACTGTTGGACTTGGTACTCCAGTACTGGTCGTGCGGTGAAGGAGATCTATCACCTCAAGGGCACAAACTAGAGGCTCCTATAGAACTGCAGGGTCTACAGAAGTGCCCAATTTGTGAATTGTGACCACAGACTTCTTGTTGTTACTCAGAGATCCAGTTTAGGTTCAGTAGGCTACCACCTAGTAAGAGAATGAGGCTGGACCTGACCAGACTCCAAGTTCAGGCTGTTTCTGAACTACATACAGTTTGTGTGAGAAACTTGCAGACTTGGGTGCAACTGTCAATTCAAACGTGATGTGGGAAGCACAAGGCTTGATCTTTCATTTTCCACAGAATAAAAAAACAGTGTAATGTTATCCCTCTAATATGGCTGGCATGTTTCACTGCTACCACTAGCTGGAAACGCAGGCAAAAGGTATTCAGTTTTAATGAGATACAAAAATAATTCCATCTACTCTGTCCTAATCTAAGGCAGCCCATCCATGTAAGCATGTAGAACGTCTTGTCTTTCCAGCATTATGACCATCTTCCCCTGCGAAAGGTCAGGGGCTGCAGGTCGCTGAATCCTGGTTCCAAAGCCCTGAGTCGCATTGTTGGACTTGGTATTCCAATACTGGTGGTGTGGTCAAGGAGATCTATCACATCCTTCTTGGCAGATGCTGGAGGCATCTGCAGGACTGCGGGGTCTATAGATGTGCCCAGGTTGTGAATTCTGACCACAGATTTCTTGTTGCTACTCTGAAGATTCAGCTTAAATCCAGTGGGCTACCACCTACTAGGAGAATGAGGCTGGACTTGGCCAGACTCCAAGATCTGGCTGTTTCTGATGAGACTGCACACAGTTTGTGTGGGGAACTTGCAGACTTGGGTGTGACTGCTAACTCTAATGTGATGTAGGAGACCTTCCTTGATAAGACCCTGAAGGTTGCCGAGGGTTGTGTTGGTGTTGCCGGGGTTTCCAGAAGGAGGTGTTTCATCTTGCAAGGCACCCTGGATATAATTAAGTGGAGTCACAGTGCACAACTTGGTGGCAACTCCAGTCTGCATTGGAAACTGAGGAGGATAGCTCTGAGGGCGCAGATAAGGAGGCGTTTGTTAGATGAATCTATGAGCAGGTGACACACCATCTGTGGTCTATTGACCCATGTCCTGCTTATTGAGGAATCAAAAGTGGGTAATGGAATGGTCCTTACGGATGACTGCATTTGGGACCCTCTGGGCCAGCTACTTTGAGCAGTTGTTTAAAGCTGACCCTCCGCTCAGCTGTGAACCACCCAATCTCACTGAGATCGCATGGGTGGTGAATTAGCTGTGGGTAGGGAAAACCGCAGGGATCTGTGGTATCCAGGGTGAACATCTCAAGGCTGGTGGTAAGGCTGTCCTCCTGGCATTGCAGGCAATCTTTGCTTCCATTTGAGAGTCAGGCATTATCCCAACTGACTGGAAAACAGGACTTCTAGTCCTT